TTTTATGATGAGATTACTGGTTCTGTGGATGAAGGGAAAGCAGTGGATGTATTGTTTCTTGACTTTAGCAAAGCTTTTGACACGGTCTCCCACAGTATTCTTGTCAGCAAGTTAAGGAAGTATGGGCTGGATGAATGCACTATAAGGTGGGTAGAAAGCTGGCTAGATTGTCGGGCTCAACGGGTAGTGATCAATGGCTCCATGTCTAGTTGGCAGCCGGTATCACGTGGAGTGCCCCAAGGGTCGGTCCTGGGGCCGGTTTTGTTCAATATCTTCATAAATGATCTGGAGGATGGTGTGGATTGCACTCTCAGCAAATTTGCGGATGATACTAAACTGGGAGGAGTGGTAGATACGCTGGAGGGGAGGGATAGGATACAGAAGGACCTAGACAAATTGGAGGATTGGGCCAAAAGAAATCTGATGAGGTTCAATAAGGATAAGTGCAGGGTCCTGCACTTAGGACGAAAGAACCCAATGCACAGCTACAGACTAGGGACCGAATGGCTAGGCAGCAGTTCTGCGGAGAAGGACCTAGGGGTGACAGTGGACGAGAAGCTGGATATGAGTCAGCAGTGTGCCCTTGTTGCCAAGAAGGCCAATGGCATTTTGGGATGTATAAGTAGGGGCATAGCGAGCAGATCGAGGGACGTGATCGTTCCCCTCTATTCGACATTGGTGAGGCCTCATCTGGAGAAGTGTGTCCAGTTTTGGGCCCCACACTACAAGAAGGATGTGGATAAATTGGAGAGAGTCCAGCGAAGGGCAACAAAAATGAGTAGGGGTCTGGAACACATGACTTATGAGGAGAGGCTGAGGGAGCTGGGATTGTTTAGCCTGCATAAGAGAAGAATGAGGGGGGATTTGATAGCTGCTTTCAACTACCTGAAAGGGGGTTCCAAAGAGGATGGCTCTAGACTGTTCTCAATGGTAGCAGATGACAGAACGAGGAGTAATGGTCTCAAGTTGCAGTGGGGGAGGTTTAGATTGGATATTAGGAAAAACTTTTTCACTAGGAGGGTGGTGAAACACTGGAATGCGTTACCTAGGGAGGTGGTAGAATCTCCTTTCTTAGAAGTTTTTAAGGTCAGGCTTGACAAAGCCCTGGCTGGGATGATTTAACTGGGAATTGGTCCTGCTTCAAGCAGGGGGTTGGACTAGATGACCTTCTGGGGTCCCTTCCAACCCTGATATTCTATGATTCTAAGTCTACTGTGGGGGCTGCTGTGATCCAAGTAGCCAATGTAATCATTGACATTCTGTTATCAAGGGTAGTGACTCTGGGAAATGTGCAAGATATAGTGGATGGCTTTGCTGCAATGGGGTTCCCTAACTGTGATGGGGCAGTAGACGGAACACATATCCCCATCTTGACACCGGACCACCTTGCCAACCATTATGTAAACCGCCAGGGGTACTTCTCAATGGTGCTGCAAGTGCTGGTGGATCACAAGGGACGTTTCACCAACATCAATGTGGGATGGCCGGGAAAGGTGTATGACGCGCACATATTTAGGAACTCTGGGCTGTTCAAGCAGCTGCAAGAAGGGACTTACTTCCCAGACCACAAAATTACCATTGGGGATGTTGAAATGCCAATAGTTATCCTTGGGGACCTAGCCTACCCCTTGTTCCCATGACTCATGAAGCCGTTCACAGGCAGCCTGGACAGTAGTAAGGAGCAGTTCAACTATAGGCTGAGCAAGTGCAGAATGGTGGTAGAATGCATCTTTGGATGTTTAAAAGCTCGCTGGTGCTGTTTGCTGACTCGGTCAGATCTCAGCGCAACCAACATTCCCATTGTTATTGCTGTTTGCTGTGTGCTGCATAATATCTGTGAGAGTAAGGGGGAGAAGTTTATGGCTGGGTGAGGGGTTGAGGCAAATCGCCTGGCATCCTATTTTGAGCAGCCAGACACCAGGCGATTAGAAGAGCACAGCTAGGCATACTGCGCATCAGAGAGGCTTTGAAAACCAGTTTCATGACTGGCCAGGCTACGGTGTGACCGTTGTATGTGTTTCTCCTTGATGCAAACCTGCGCCCCTGGGTTGATTTTAATTCCCTGTAACCAAACCACCCTCCCTCCCCCCTTTGAAATAAAGTAACTATTGTTTTGAAACCATGCATTCTTTCTTTATTAATTAAAAAAAAAAAGTGTGATAAGTGACAAGGTAGCCCCGGTGGGGTGGGGGAGGAGGGAAGGACAAGGCCACATTGCTTTTTGTACAAATCACACTACAAATCAAACTGTTTGAATGACAGCCTTCTGTTGCTTGGGCCATCCTCTGGAGTGGAGTGGCTGGGTGCCCAGAGCCTCCCCCCCTCATTCTTGGGTGTCTGGGTGAGAAGGATATGGAACTTGGGGAGGAGGTCAGGCGGTTATACAATGGATGCACCTCCTGTTGGCTTTCCTGCAGCTCCGCCAGATGCTTCATCATGTCCTTTTGCTCCCCCTTTAGCCTCTGCTCTTCGCACTCCTGCCTCCCCTCTTCGCGCTCACTTAATGCTTTCCTGGCCTCTAACACTGAATACCTCCATGCATTAAGTTGTGCCCTATCAGTGCGGGAAGACTGCATGAGCTCGGAAAACATGTCGTCACGAGTGCATTTTTTTCGCCTTGTAATCTGCGATAACCTCAGGGACGGAGATGATATGGGGAGCATAGAAACATTTGCACCTGGGGGGAGATAAAAAGGGAAAGTAAAATTTAAGAAGATACATTTCTGAGAACAAAAGGGATACTCTTTCACAGTGAATCAAGCAATTCACAGCAGACAGCACATGTGCTTTAGGTTCAAGGTCACATTTTGCCTTTTATATTGAGTGCCTGCCGGTATGGTGACACATCACACATGGCTGGGCAACAGAATTCGGTTTCCAAGCAGCCATGGTAAGGCACAGGGTACGCAGGGTTGGCTTCTTACGCATAACATGTGGGAATGGTTTCAAACTGCAGCGCCATCCTTTCCCATAGCAAGCAATGGCTTGGGTTTCACATTTAAAAGGAAGGACTGTGGTTTTCGGGTGGATGTGCAGCACACACCTCCCCTCACCCCACCACGTGGCTATTCTCTGGGATGATCCCTTCACCCCTCCCCTCACCGTGTGGCTATTCTCCAGGATGATCCCTTTTAGCCAAGCGCAAACAGCCCAGCATGAACGGGGTTCTTTTACTGTTCCCTTGCAAATATTCTCCTATTTCAACCAGGTGACCATGAATGATATCATTCTCCTGACACTGACACAGAAAGATAAAGAGCGAATGTTGCTTGAATGTGACCAAAACCCAGGACCATTCACTGCGATGCTTTGTGCTGCAATGATTCCAAAATACTTGCTACTGGCTTGCTGTGGTAAAGAGTCCTACCGTGGAGGACGAAATAAGGCAGCCCTCCCCAGAAACCTTCTGCAAAGGCTTTCAGAGTACCTCCAGGAGAGCTTCATGGAGATGTCCTTGGAGGATTCCCACTCCACCCCCAGACATGTGAACAGACTTTTCCAGTAGCTTTACTGGCCACGAATGCATCCCAATTCTTCAGGGCAAATCAAATATTAAACACTATTGCTTTTAAACCCTGTACTGTAGTTACAAAAGTGCACTCACCAGAGCTGCCTTCTCCGGCTTCCGGGTTGGGGATCCTGCCTTGGGAGGGTATTGGCTCCAGGGTGATGAAAAGGTCCTGGCTGCTGGGAAGAACGGATTCACCACTTGCCTGCTGTGTGTTCGCCTCCTCCTCCTCTTCCTCATCCACAAAATCCTCCTCCCTATTGTGTGAGACTCCCCCCTTGCAGGTGTCCATGAACAGTGGTGGGGTAGTGGTAAGATCCCCCCCCTAGAATGCCATGCAGCTGATCATAGAAGCAGCTTGTATGGGGTTCTGACGTGGAGCGCCCGTTTGCCTCCTTTGTCTTTTGGTAGGCTTGCCTGAGCTCCTTGACTTTCATGTGGCACTGCTGTGTCTCCCTGTTGTAGCCTCTCTCCATCATGCCCTGTGAGATTTTGGCAAATATATTGGCATTTCTTCTTTTTGATCGGAGTTCTGCCTGCACAGATGCTTCTCCCCATACAGCGATCAGATCCAGTGTCTTCCTTTCGGTCCATGCTGGAGCTCGTTTGCGATTCTGGGGGGACTGCATGGTCATCTGTGCTGCTGAGCTCGCCACGCTGACCAAACAGGAAATGAAATTCAAAAGTTCCCAGGGCTTTTCCTGTGTACCTGGCTAGTGCATCGGAGTTGAATGTGCTGTTCAGAGCGGTCACATTGGAGCACTCTGGGATAACTCCCGGAGGCCAATACCTTCGATTTGCGTCTGCACTAGCCCAAATTCAACCCAGCAAGGTCGATTTTAGCGCTACTCCCCTCGCTGGGGAGGAGTACAGATGTCGATTTTCAGAGCCCTTTAAGTCGACGGAACGGGGTTGGTTGTGTGGACGCATCCATTTTAAAATCGACCTAACATGGCTAAATTCGACCTAACCCTGTAGTGTAGACCAGGGCTCAGAGAATCAATATAATCCTTGGATGTAGAAGCAGGGAAATACTGAGTAGGCACAGACAGGAGGTATTGTCTCGATATAGGGCATTAGGGAGACCATTACTGGACACACTATCCACTTCTTGTGTTCTCACTTCAACAAGGAAGTTGACAACCTTAAAAGGGGAAAGAAAAGAACCACCAGAATTATTATAGGTCTGGAAAACTTGCCTCAGAGCGAGATACTTACAGAGATCCATCGGTTCGTTTTATTCAAGTGAAGGTTAGGTGGTGACTTGATCCTGGTTTATAAGTACCTACATGGGGAGATTCATGGGGGTTCTTTATGCCAGCAGAAAAACGCCTCTTGCATTGAATTACTCCCCAGGAAGGGGGGGGGGGAGGGAATCGTGACTCATCTAGTGCCACTAACTGTGACCACCAGAGGGCCCTGGCTATTGTCGGATGCTGACTATGGACAGTTCTTCCAGTGGGTGTTTCCCTGTCTGAGGACACCAGGTTTGAGCTTCCTGGGTCAGAGGCTGCTCGTGCTGCCTCCATTGCGAGCCCGGATTCCTTTCCAGGCTGAGCCGCTGCTGCTCCCCCAGCGGGGTCTGTGCGGGGAGAGCCCTTCCCTAGCGCCCCTCGGGGCCCAGCCGCGGGGACTTTCTCCGGGGGCTGGAAGCAGCCCCGGGCTCTGCCGACACCAGCCCCTGAGCCGGAGCCTGCAGGTGAGGGGGGAGACCCGGGGAAAGGGCTGGGGCTGGGCAGGAAAGTGACTCTGCACCAACGGCCCCTCCTCGCCCCAGCTCCGCTCCCGGCGGGTGGGGGGGGGGTCTGCGAGTCCCAGAGCTGCTGCCCTCCCCGGCTCTGCCCCCCTGAGCGCCTGCAGAAGCCGAGCCAGCGCCGGGAGAGCGACCGGGCCAGGGACCGAGTCTCCCAGCCCGAGGGGAGGGGAGGGGCAGGAGGGAGATGGGCAGAGACTGGCAGGGGCAGCAGGAGCAATCAGTGAGGAGGGAGGTCCCGGCTCCCTGCCCTGCCCTGCCCAGCCTTGCCCAGCCGCGTTCCCTGCAGCACCCCGGGCAGATTGACTTCCCTGGGACAGAGTGAGGCGCAGGGAGAGGAAAAGCCAGTTCCTGCCTCTGCCTGGTCCCCGCGCTGCTGGGGGGAAGCGCTGCCCTGGGGACAGTGTCAGGAGGATCCCCCAAAGCGGCTCCTTCGATTCTGATCTTTTCCAGTGTTGGCTCAGGGACTCTGTTACTGGGGGCGTTAAAATGTCTCGGTGGGGTTAGTCCTGGTGGGAGAGGCCGGGTCGGCGCTGGAATAAGGTGGCTGAATCCTGTTCTCAGCACTGCAGAGTCCTGAGTGTCTGTCTGCAGGGAAAGAGCCTGTGCTGAACTGAAGAGCTGTGAAATGCACCAAAACCCCTTCTGAAATCTCTCCACTGGCCCTTCTCGCCCTGACAGGCTGCAGAACCACGTCCGCACTTTGCTCCAGATCGTCCCCATCTGCTGGGGGACGGGGAAGGGACATGGCTACAGCAGATCCCGCTCAGGTAGGGGTTCTATCCAGGGGAAGTGGGTTGTGGCAGGAGGAGTAACCACCATATGGAAGGGGGAGGGTTAGTGCATTGAGTGAGGAACTTCCCCATTGGGCTGTGTTTAAACTGAGGCAGTGTGGCCTAGTGGCTAGCATTCCTAACTGACTCTCAGGAGACCTGGCTTCTGTTCCCAGCAATGCTGCTGGCCTATGGCCTGTCCTTGGGCAAGTCACTGCCCCACTCTGAGCCTAAGTTTCCCCTTTTGTAACGTGGGGATAATGATGCTGAGCTCCTATGTAAAGTGTTGTGGGGGGGCGTAGCATAAATTTAGATGGAACAAAGGGGCCAAAGAGGTTTACGTAACCCAGTCCCTGTCTAACATTAAACAAGGGTCAGGGCTTGGTGTACAGAGACCACAGCCTTTTTTGACCATGGCACACTCACCACTAAACACCCTTTGAACCTTCTATTAAAGATACAGCATTTGACATGTAAAGCGCTAAATGAGGCTTTCGTTTTAATGACATCCCGTGTTCCCTTTTGCTTCAGCTGGAGAGGGTTTTAGAAGGAAAAAGCCACTTGTCTCGCAGTCTCTTACCTGATATCAGAGATGGTAATATCTGTCCTTTAGGGGAAAAAAGGAGAAGTTAATTGAGGTGGGCTGGAGCTATTGTTAAAGTCTAATCCTATTTCACTGGGATTCCATTGGAGCCGGTACAGGTGGTGATGTCATATGGGTCCCTTTCTCTGGCCTGGGCTGGTCAGGACAGCTCTCAGGATCAGGACGAAGAGTATCCCGGATCCTGGGAAAGGGGCGGGGGGGTGGCCAGGGTGGTGAAGCTCACCCCACTAGCCTCTGTCTGTTCTTTCTGACTTGTCCTCACAAAGTCTCGTTCTTTAAGGAGACACAAAGGGAGTCGTGGGTAGAACAGCCCATCCCCACAGTATTTTGTCCACCAGTTAGGCCCAAGATCCAACACACCAATTTTGGTTCATTAGTTTCCAGCTCCATATCACCCATTTTTAACCAGCATTAGTTTCAGCAGCCATTGGATTACATCAATGTGGCATTTTCGGTTTAGACCAAACCAGTCTCAGTCTGGTTTCCTTGCACTGGTTCCAATCACCGTTTGTTATTACAGGTTTTTGTGAAGCCTTATGAACTCACGCTCACCTTTAGAGTGAATTTGCAGGCCCAGTTCTCCCCACAGAGGGTGAGGGAGGGGGCAGGGAATGGGACAGAGGTGCCCAGCTGTTCAGAGAAAGCCATAGGAAGTGGCCTCCGAACAGCCAGTTAGGTGGTGGCAGGAGCATGGAGCCCACACGTGCATTGTCTGTCAGGCCAGCCAAGGCCCAGATGCAGCCCCCAAGTGGGGGAGGCTGGAGAGCTGGGCGCACAGGGGGCAAGAGGGAGGCGGAGTCTCTCCTGTGGAGCAAGGGGAGGTCCTGATCCAGTAACAGTGCAGGGGCAGGTCTGTGTGGGTTGTGGGAGGGGGTGATTAGGGACCGTCCTGAGAGGCTGGTGGGCAGGGGATGTAACCCAAGGCCTGTGGGAGCTGCAGCAGATGGTGAGGGAGGCTGGAAGAGGCCGTGGCTGAGCTAGTGTGCTTGCGTCTGGGCAGCAGGCACTGAGTGGTGGATGCTTGCTGTTCCAGGGGTCGGTGACCTTCGAGGAGATGGCTGTGTATTTCCCTGAGGGGCAGTGGGCTCTGCTGAATCCATGTCACCGAGTTCTTTACAGGGACCTCCTGGGTAAGGATTCCTGTCCCCTCAGGTATCAGGAGCTGGGTGTCCCTGAAGTGCCCAGGGCGGGTTCTGTTCTGGTCCCTTAATGTTCAGGAGGAACAGCCCCATAGTCCGCAGACCCCATGTGGGAGAGACTGTCCTGACACAGGACTGGAGATCCGGGGACTTAATGATGGTGCTGTTCTCTCTGTAACCCGGGCTCCCAAGTGGGACAAACTCACTGTCTCCCCCACTTCCCAGGGCAGATTCCACTTCTGGGGCCTCTGCTCCATCAGGGATGCACATGTGTCTCCTGACTCTGCTCTGCCTGAGGCCCCACTGGCCAGATTTTTCCTGGTAGGTAGCTGCCTAAAGATGCAGACAGGCACTGAGTGAGATTTTCAAAATTTTCTCAGTGTCTAACTTCCATTTTGCTTCTACAGAATCCCACTAGGCCCCTGTCTGCAACTGTAGGTGCCTAAACCTCTTTAGAAATCTGGCCCAAGTTCCCTGTCTGTGCGGAACCCTGAGCTCACTTCAGGGGACACAGCATGTCTCTCCCAGATGCTGGGCTTTCCCAGTGGGCTCCGGGAGCATTTCCCTGTCTGTTCATATGAAATCTCCCTGCAGCAAAGAAAGGGGCTGGGCACCCTGCAGCAGCCTCCCCAACCTATAAACAGAGAGTGTATGTGAGTCTACTTGCTTTTTCCCCTGAGCAGGGTTTCCTGTTCCCAAGCCGAGTGAGATCTCCCGGCTGGACCGAGGGGAAGAACCGTGGGGCCAGGATCTCCAGGGCTCTGAAGAAAGGGGAATCCTAAGAAACGGTCACACAGGTGAGGGACTGCTTTGGTCAGCTCCTAGCCCAGTTTTATGTCCTCATGGCAGATGTCACGCATGGGATTCCAACAACCCTGTCTGCTGCCTGGCTTATCCCCCTCCCCTCTCTCCTCTGGGGAAGGATTTGGGGGGATTTGGAACCTGATTTGTTTCACCTTTTTTTGTGTCAGCCTCTCTGAGGACTGACTGCTGTCTGGATTCCCTGTCCCAGCAGGAGACAGGACGGGCAGTGAGAGCGAGGAGAACTCTCAGCTGGAAGGTCCTGAGCTAGAGCAGCCACCCAGGAGGATGTCGGGAAGAGCTGAAGGGAATGTTTCCCAGAGCGCTGAGCAGGGAGAAGCCTGGGAGAATCAGCACAGACTGGAGAGGCAGCTGGGAACCCAGCCAGGGAAAGGATTGGATGAATCCTGTCACAGGCCTGTGGACACCATCCACCAGAGAATCCCCAATGAAGAGAGACCCACCATCTGTGAGGAATGTGGCAGAAGCTTCAGTCGCAGCTCAAACCTGATTGTCCATCAGAGACTCCACGCCGGAGAGAAACCCTACAAATGTCTGTACTGTGGGAAAAGCTTCAGCCGGAGCTCCCACCTGATCACCCATCAGAGACTGCACACGGGGGAGAAGCCCTACAAGTGCCCCAACTGCGGGAAAAGTTTCAGCGACAGCTCCACCCTCATCACCCACCAGAGACTGCACACCGGAGAGAAACCCTACAAATGCCCTGACTGCGGGAAAGGCTTCAACCAGAGCTCCAACCTCACTTCCCATCAGAGAACCCACACAGGGGAGAGACCCTACAAGTGCCCCGAGTGCGGGAAAAGCTTCAGCGTCAGCTCCTACCTCATCAGGCACCAGAAAATTCACACAGGGGAGAGACCCTACAAATGTGAGGAGTGTGAGAAGAGCTTCAGTCAGAGCTCCAGTCTTATCAACCATCAGCGAGTGCACACCGGAGAGAAACCCTATAAGTGCATTGATTGTAACAAATGGTTCAGGAACAGCTCGGACCTGATTAGACACCAGAGAACCCACACGGGAGAGAGACCATATCGGTGCCCCGACTGTGGGAAAAGCTTCAATCGCAGCTCGAACCTCATGACGCACCAGAGGATCCACACGGGAGAGAAGCCCTACGAATGCCCTGAGTGCAGGAGGAGTTTCACCGTGAGCTCAGCCCTGATCAAACACCAGAGGACCCACCGGGAGGAGAAGACTTATGACTGCCCTGACTGTGGGAAAAGCTTCATTCGCTGCTCCAATTTTCTTACGCATCGGAGAATCCACACAGGGTAGAAACTGGCATCTCCTGATATCCCTGCCCCTCCATGCCAGCTCAGAAGGAGCTGCCTGGAGCCAGGGTCGGCCTGGCTGGCAGACTCCAGGGAGCTGCTGCTCAGTGGGGTCTGGGAATCTGGTTTTGGGGCACAGAGGACTGGGGCAGATGGTTATCTCTAGGAAGGGAGGGATTGTTTTGTTTTCGATTTCAAACACTTTTATAAACACATTGCAGCAGGGATGGAGGCAGCAGGAGACGCTAGAAATCTGGAGTAGAATTTTGCACATTATGAAGATTTTGTAGAATTTACCTTTCTTGTTTTGGAGAACCCGCTGGAACATCACTGGTGTCTGGAGCTGAGAGGTGAGAACCGCCTATTTATCGCCATAGACTGTTCGCTCTGAACCATAATGATAACGTATCGCATTCCAGTATTGATAATACTTTCTCCTGCTCATTGTGCTTCATCCATCTGGGTGGATGGCCTAATAATTTGACAGAGTTCTTCAAAGGGAGAAAGATGCACCTTCTGCAGGAGAGGTTGGTTTATCTTCCTACTGTTTTTCATTTGTTTGGAATTCATTGGATTTCACGTTGCTTAGCTGACGTACAGATGAGAAGCTTTTTATTAATCAGCTTTAGTACTCGGAACAGAATTTGAAGATGAACAGGGCAGAGTGCATGAAGTTACAACAAAAAATGTTAAGACAGGGGGTTAACCCCCACTTACCAACAAGTAATAAATAAAACCACAAAGATTTACCAATCAATAGGAAACGTACTCTAGCATGGAGTGGGGGCTTTTACTACAACACTGAATCCTTAGTACAGGGCTGGATCAATTTACCAGTCAAAATTTGTAACCCAAAGTTATAGGACTGTGAGTGGCAGCTCAACAAAGAGCCATTCTTAAAAGGCAACTTTTAAACAATTGCTTGGTCACTGACGTGTCAATTCAGTTTAAATTTGCCTTGGGACAATGACAATTCAGAGCCAAGCCTCTTCCTTTCACAGAGATATCTCACATTATGCATGCATTTGGATACAGACGCCCCTGAGAAAGTTTATCTATGCCCCGGTTTCACCCGATAAGTAACAAAGAATTAAACATATGTCTGCTCTGGCCCAGCGACAGATCGGTCATTCTAAGTGTTGGGAAGCGTGTCCCTGAGTTCATAGAAGCCTGTACGTGATTTAAATGTATATTGTGTTCTGTGTGGCAATAGCCAGCTGTCACAGAGTCACAGGGTCTGGTCTGGCCCCAGCCTGTCATCAGCCCCGTGGGAGTGACCTCTTTAATGTGCCTAACCCAAGGACCCACACAGCTCCACAGAGGCAGGTCTGTGGCCTTCATGACTCCCAGACTGGGCCTTCGGCACCAGCAATCCCTGTCTGTGGCTCCCCACAGAGAATCCAGCCCAGCCAGAGTCCTGCAGGACACAGTGCTCTCAGTGAATATCTGCAGTGACACCAAGTGGCCCATTCAACAGAAGGTGACAATTCCTTAGTTACCTGGCGTATAGAATCTGAAAGTCCTTACGTTAGCACAGTGGGGCAAAGGTTAACACATGGTCTGTGCTAGCTACACCAGTGCAACCAGCTATCATCTGTTTTGGTCTCTGTTTCTCCTCTCTGTGTCATCCCAGGTGAGAGCTCCAGACTCTTTGTAAAAGCCAGGAGTTATCCCAGTATCCTGACACCAGTTCAACCCATTGTTCTTGAGCTGGGGCCTTTGCTCTGCTTCCCTGCTGAGAGGTGGGGGGAAAACTCCTTCCTTTTGGTTTGATTCCTGGGTCTGAATGTCCTGGCATTTAAAAAAGGGTCGGTTTCAGTCCATCCTTTAATGTCCCAGTCACTGCACCCCAGTCAGCTACATGATACAACATCTCATGTCTGCTGCTCTGCCACAAAAGCCGCATTTTGAACCCTTTTTCACCCACTGGGTGGCTATGCAGAGTACAGAAGGAAACTGAGGCATGCCCAAGAACCATAACAATATTGCAGAAAATTCCTGCTTGTCACACCAGCCTCACCCTGGCTGTCTAGGATTAAAATTTAGTTAGTAAATGTGACTTGGGGATTTGTTATACTAGCTCAGCATAGAGCTACTTTGTCAGGAAGATGTTTGCGCATACCCCAAAGAGGAGCTGGTAGCCTGTAGGTGGACTGATGGGCACTCACTGCAGCTCAGTCACAGATGACGCTTTCTTAAATTTGGGTAGTTTTATAAATCATTGTTTTACCACTTGGTGAAAGTAGTAGAGGAGCTTCCAGTACACCACGACTGGGATTGCAGAGTATTTATGGTTACACCTTCTGGTGAATTGCCATATAAATAGCCCCATGGTAACCAGTATCAAAGTTACTTTAATGTGAGATATCTCTGTGAAAGGAAGAGGCTTGGCTCTGAATTGTCATTGTCCCAAGGCAAATTTAAACTGAATTGACACGTCAGTGACCAAGCAATTGTTTAAAAGTTGCCTTTTAAGAATGGCTCTTTGTTGAGCTGCCACTCACAGTCCTATAACTTTGGGTTACAAATTTTGACTGGTAAATTGATTTAGCCCTGTACTAAGGATTCAGTGTTGTAGTAAAAGCCCCCACTCCATGCTAGAGTACGTTTCCTATTGATTGGTAAATCTTTGTGGTTTTATTTATTTCTTGTTGGTAAGTGGGGGTTAACCCCTGTCTTAACATTTTTTGTTGTAACTGCATGCACTCTGCCCTGTTCATCTTCAAATTCTGTTCTGAGTACTAAAGCTGATTAATAAAAAGCTTCTCATCTGTATGTCAGCTAAGCAACGTGAAATCCAATGAATTCCAAACAAATGAAAAACAGTAGGAAGATAAACCAACCTCTCCTGCAGAAGTTGCATCTTTCTCCCTTTGAAGAACTCTGTCAAATTATTAGGCCATCCACCCAGATGGATGAAGCACAACGAGCAGGAGAAAGTATTATCAATACTGGAATGCGATATGTTACCATTATGATTCAGAGCGAACAGTCTATGGCGATAAATAGGCGGTTCTCACCTCTCAGCTCCAGACACCAGTGATGTTCCAGCAGGTTCTCCAAAACAAGAAAGGTAAATTCTACAAAATCCTCATAATGTGCAAAATTCTACTCCAGATTTCTAGTGTCTCCTGCTGCCTCCATCCCTGCAGCAATGTCCAGTAGTGACACAATATACTCAACAAGAAATTCCCTCTGCCCCAGGGGATAATACTCTCAAGTGCAACTGGAGACAAGGATACTGCCTGCAGGAGCATTTTCCAGCAGCCACGGGGTTAACCCAGTAATGCTGAGGGCTCTAGTTATTGCTAAGGAGGGAAAGCTTCTTTCTCTCATCAGTCATTGGGGTCTTGTACATTTCGAAGCCAGGCCCATTAACTACACTAGTTCCATTGTAGTTTGCTTGTTATTTCACTTTTTGAGTATAGGCAATAATCACAAAAATATATTTTAAAAAATCACTTCAGAGTCAAGACACTGTAAATACTTTGAAGCTAATTCTCTGGAATCTAAAATACCCATGTGACTGAAGATGCAACAAAAGCGATACTACCAAGAGATTCCATTTTAAAGTTAATCTGTTGCTTGTATGAACTCGTGGTAATGGTGGGCGAAAAGAAGATCACAGTAATTACAGTCACTGAGGTATGAGAGAATCCAATTTGTCTACCTTGAATTGGAATATGATGGAATCACTGAGGTTAGGCCTGGTCTACATCGGAAAGTTTTCACATGTATGTTTTTCTGCTCTATCTGTACCAGTATAGCTACGGTGAAAGGATGCATCTATACTGTTTTGTTTACTGTAGCTTAAGCTAGTTCCTTTATGAATCATTGTGGTCGGAGGAAGAGGATGAGATCAAGCGGTTACTCTTACATTCAGTTTTCCCACAGTGGCTTCAGTTGCTGGAGAACCTCTTCTGTTCATGGCCCCCTAGCACTGATGGGTGGGACAAGACAGTGCTGCAGAGCTGGGGTGAACAGCAGTGACCACAGAACTTTAGGCTGCAGAAGGCTACTTCCCTAGACATCTGGGTGGAGCTCGCCACCAAGCTGCAGTGGTGGAGAACCAACCTGAGAGTCCCCCTCAGCGTGGAGCAGTATGTGGCCATCAGCATCTGGAAGCTCCCAACTCCCGACAACTGCTGTTCAGTAGCTAGACAGTTTGGTGCTGGGAGATAAATTGCCGGGACTGTTGTCATGTAGGTGTACACTGCTATCAGGAGGGAGCTGCAGGGCTAGAACATAACACTTGCCAATGCACAGGAGGCTACTGATGGCCTTGCATAGCTGGGGTTCCCAAATTGTACAGGAGCCCTTGATCAAACCCATCTGACGATCCCACCCCCCTTACACCAGATTAGAGTTTATTGACAAGAATGGGTATTTTTCTATGGTGCTGCGAGGCCTGATTGATTGCCATGGGATGGGGTGGACAGGTCCATGATGCCAGGGTCTTCAGAAATGCACCTCTGTTTTCTGCAAAGAAAAAGAGAACTTCTGCTCCCATGGCCATTATGGATATTGGTGATATTGTTCATACATTCCAAGGCCAGAAGGGACCACTGTGATCATGTATAACACAGGCCAGAGACCTGCCCCCAAATACTTCCTACAGCAGAGCTATTAGAAAAACATCCAATCTCAATTTTAAAATTATCAGGGATGGAGAATACACCATAACCCTTGGAAAATTGTTCCTTTGGTTAATTACTCTCAGTGTTAAAAAATTTACAGTGTTTTGATTCCTCCTGTCATTCTGGGAGACCCAGCTTATCCTCTGCTTCCCTGGCTTATGAATCATTTTCCTGGAGACAAGGGCGGGAGAAAGGATCTGTTTGACTGTACCTGGAATAGCTGAAGAACAATTGTGGGGAGGGTGGTTGGAAGACTTAAGGAAAGGAGGAGATGCCTCCTGACGTGGCTGAAGGCTGCTGAAAAGTATCTGCCTTATGTGATAGGCACTTGCTCGGTTTACACAACATCTGAGAGAGCCAGGGGGAGATCCTCACCAATGGCTGGGAGGTGAAGATGATGGCACTTTCTGTACCTTATTAACAGCCAGCCACAAGTGGTCAGGGACACGGGGTCAGGGATGGGTTGTGGTAGGAAATGAATGTCCTGTAGCCAAGGAAATGAATGCAGGGTGTTTGTGTAAAGATCTGATTAAGAATTGGTGTTACTGGGGTGAGCCGCACTTCAGTGAAAGTTTTCAGTTGATTTGTACATAACATTTATGGATTTAATGTAAC